ATATGTCAACATAATGCATTAATAGTGTACATAATACATTTTTAAATTTATTGTTTCAAACAAAAATAAAAAAAAATGAAACAATTTTATTTTGTTATTAGAGATAAAAATGGATGTTATTAAGAAAAAAAAAATTATACAAAAAATCGAAAAGAATACCAATGATAATAGTGAACCAGAAAGTAGCAATAATGAATTAAAATCAAATACAAAGTGGAATATTAAAGATAAAAAAATATTATTAGAAGCATTACAAAAATATGGATCTGAAAATATTGAAGCTATATCAAAAATGTTACCAAATATATCTTTAGAAGATATTAAATCGACAATTTCTAAATATTCTGAAATAGCAAAAAATCTGTATGAAGATGAATTATTAAACAAATGGCTGAAATGTGGATTGTATCAACCTGAGGACAGTCTCATACCAGAAGCATTATTATTTATACAATTATTTGAAAATCATCCATCACCTTCTGAATTAGAAGGTTATGATATCAGGTATATACTTATATATATGTATATATATAATATAAATTAATACTATATAATATAAACTTTTATAGTACAAATTAATATATATATAAAATATAATTAATATTAATATATATATATATATATATATATATAAATAATATATATATGTAATATAAAATAATATATAATATTAATAATATAATTATGTTTATTGATAATTATGTTATTTTCATAGATCAATATATAATTTCCTTTATCGCTCATGTTTTGGACAATCATCATATTTTGATTTATCACCAAAAGATAGAGATTTGTTATGTTTTTTAATATCAAAAATAGAACAAAAGGTATGGCCAAAATGTAAAACAGATATTTGGGAATATGTTGGCAAAGTTTATAATAAAAGAAATATAAAGAAAGTATATCCAGGAAAAAAAGGACATTTATTATAATATTGTAGTTATAATTTTTTATACATTTATGTTTAATAATAATTCAATAAATATTTAAAGTTTATAACATATTTAAAGTTTTATATTTCTTTAATAAAAAAATAAATTTGTACATAACACAAGTATTGATATCAAATAATGAAATAATTTAATTTATTTTATGTAATAAAATTATGGAAGTTATATTTTGTGATAAAGATTATTTTATATAAATTATATAAGATAATAAAAATGAGATGTTGATTTCAAAGAATTATTATTAATAAACATTAAAATATCATTTTATATTATAAATAATAGTATATATTTTATATTATAAATAAAAGTAATATAATATTAATTTAATATAATTATTTTTTGTATGTATTATACATATTATAATCTAAAATTATTTTATATATTTTGTAAAAAAATTTTTTGTAATTGTATAATTTATATACATAAATATTAATGATATAATACATTAAAATATAAATTAGATTACTTTTGAAATAATATAAATGCATAATAAATGAAAATTAATTAAAATAAAGTACACAAAAGATAAAATATATACTCTTTTGCTTTAATATACATAAAGTGTAAAGCAAAATTTGGAGTATATTAACTTATAACATATAACATTTATTTACGCTTACTAAAGCGTACAATATATACATATTTGTATGCATATATAAATTATAAATGATTAATTTTATAATATTTTATAATGTATCTACATATATTTTTCATTAAAAGGATAAAATAAAAGAAGATAAAATAAAAATTACTATTATATTGCTTTATACAAGCTCAAAAATGATTAAGATATTTAAAAATTTTGAACATTGATAAAAATTTTCTAATTATTAAATAGTAATTAATTTTTTAATATTTCCCATGCATCATCTTCCAGTTTTGTATTCCAATTAGATACATGATTATCAATATCAAAATTGATTAATGTTTCTTCTTTGTCTTTTGATTTTCTTGGAAGAGATTTAGAATCTGTTATTTCATTATTTTGTTTTGTATCATTATCCCAATGCCATTCAGAATTAGAAGAATTTGCAGTTGATACATCGTTTCTAAAATAATTTATCATATATAATTTATCAATATAATTTATTCGTATATGAAATCACATTTATTTATTTAATAAATTAAAATTATTTAATTCTTAATAATATTAAATATTAATATTAATATTTAACATTTTAATTTAATTTTATAACTTAGTATTATATAATTCCACTAATAAAACTATTATTAACTCACTTGGACTGTAATGATTTCATTAAACAAGGTTTTTGAGAATGATATTGTGATACATTTTGATAAATTGTAGAAGAACTTTGATAATGTTCTTGTGAATTATATTGATTTTGTTCAATTGAATTTGTTCCACCAATATCACCCCATCCTCTTCTTCCTAAATCTCCAACCTGTTTTAATTATTTGAATAATAATAATAATTATTTGAATAATCAATTAAAATAATCAATTAAATAATAATAATAATAATCTACTTATATCAAATAAAATAAGAATTTATTTGTTATAATATTAATCAAGTTAAATTTTATAATTTATATGCATTATTAATGATGATTTTGTAGCAAACATCTATCTACCTTAGCAGCTATATTATTAGCTTGAGTTCCAACTTCTTCCCAAAAAGTACCATCACGTACCTAACCAAAACAAAATAAAACAAAAAAGAAAAAATAATTGCTCACTGAAAAATAATTTTTTACTAAATATAAATTTCCTAATATATATAAACATAAATATTAAATGCAAAATAAATAATTGCTATTAATTTTCTTTAATAACTATTGATAATATGAAAAATAATGATAATGTGAATATTTTATATTAAAATATATCATATATTAAATATTATCATATATATATACCTTTTGTATAGCTAATTCTCCAGTTCTAATGGCATTTTCTGTAGCTTTGCTTGCTATTTTTGATGCTGATGAAGAAAGTATTGACCAACCCTAAAATATTTAGTACTACAGATTTTATATCTAAATATATATTTATAAATATTAGTTATCTTACACTTGCTAAGGAAGATACTGCATTGTCAAAAAACTCTTGTGATGAACTTTTAGGTGGTGGATTCATTTGATAACCAAATCCTCCATATTTACCACCCTGATTAGGTGGAATATTGCTTTAAAAATATTAATAAAATTGTTATTTAAAATATGTTATTTAAAATATTTAATTATAAATATTTAATTATTTTTTTTATTATTTTTATTATTATTATATAGTTATATTAATATTTTTATTATTAATTATAATATAATTATTATTATTAATTATATTATTACTTTTATTATTAATTATATTAAATTTAAAAAATATTAGTAAAAGTAATCAAAAACTTAATTAAAACTTACTCTGGACGATTAGCATTTTCATTTTGTTTTTTTGCAAAAAAAGCTTCTGCTTGAGACTTATAATTATTTGAATTAAAATTTTGATAAGAATTTGATAAATCACTTTGATATGAAGAATAATCTTGTTGATTTTCTGAGTATATTGAAGATTGAAAATCTTTAGCTATGGATGTCGTTGGGCTCCAGTTTTCTCCACGTGCTAATGTTGCAATCTAATTGTTTACATAAAGTAAATTTTTTTGCAAAAGTATTAAAAACATGCCAATTTATATTTAATATATTATATAATATTTATATTTGAATAATATGTAAATTAATTAAAAAATTATTTCAAAAACATACTTTAAATCTATAATTAATGTTATATTTTTTTCTATAATATAATTTCATTTTAAAATTTTATACTTCATAATAAAAAAAAATAAAAAATTATAATTAAAAGTAATGAAATACATTTACCTTATCTCTATATAATGCTGCTGCTTTAGTATTATATTTTTGTGTTATTGACATACTATCATTCCAATCAGATTGTAATTCAAAGAATTCACGAGCATTTTTATTTCCACCAATTCTCATTTTTTCTAATTCTAAATCTTTCCATTTATCCATAGAAATAGATCGAACAAATGATAAATGGACACCAAGTCCTCTGTGTTTGCCTGAGCATTCAAGACAAATCCATATACCATATGTGACAGAAACCCATTGAGGATTGTGAGTTCCACATTCAAAACATTTCTGTAAAATAAAAAGACAATTAACAATTAATAATGGAATTTTATGAAAAAAAATAAAATAGATATATTACATTATTTTCGTCTTTTGATTTAAGTTCACTTAAAATTCTTCGAGTTCGTGGACTAGCCATATTTTTTCATTAAAACTCAAATGAAATAGAGTTTAATTAATTTTTAAAAATCCACCATATTATATTTATCAATCTTTTAATTTCCAATTTTTCATAGATAATAAATAGCAAAAATAATTCTGATATATCAATTTTAAATTCTATCATATGAATAAAATAAAAGTATTATTTATATGTAACCAAATTGTACATAATGTTATAAAGTTTAAGGAACTAATCATTTCATGGAATATTTTATTTTATATGATAGAAGAAAACCAATACGCAATGACTAAAAATCAAGTAGCCTATGTTTCTAAAATATCCCACTAAAGAGCGCTAAATACCAATCTTATTTTTTATGGATAAATAGAAATAAAAATATATACATATTATATATATATATATTTATATATATTACTATTATAATTATTTAAAAATTTTTTAATTTTCTAATTTTAATTAATATATATCATTTGTATTCGCATGTTAAATTCATTTATATCGCTTAAAATACATATAATATATAAAAATATGTAACATTTAAACAATAATAAATTCATAATTATTTTTTATTTTATTATAAAAATCCATAAACAAATTTCTTTTGAATTATAATATAAATTTAAATTATTAACTAAAAATTATTAAACTTATATATAAAATTGTATAACATTGTAAATATATTATTCATTCTACCAATCAAATAAGATATAGATTTGCTTCATGTAAACGACACTTATTTATTAGAAAAGCGCATGCGCAACCCCACCCACTGTTCATGACAAATGCAACTTTTACTTCCGGTTGACTTCAGCTTCTGCATAAGGTTTTTTGGATTTAGCAGTATTCTTGCGTGGTGCTTCTGTTATCCTACGTCATCCGTGATTTTTCTCAGCTGCATTTGCACTTTGCAGTTCTATATCTCCCGGGGATATATTTTGTTTGTCGTATGTCCATCCAGAATCTCAACACATTCGGTAAATATTATATTTTCTGTTTTGAAGTACTGATCATATTGTAAGATAGTTTTATCAAAATGGCGATGGCGTCTTTTGCTTGCATCATAGTACGCAATTAACATTTAATATTCTTTTTTTCATTTTTATTTCTAAAATTATTTTTTTCGAAAAAAAAATCAATTAAATGTAAAATTGAATAAGTTTTAATAAAATGTGGATTATTTGGTTTTTTCAGACCCCTTTGCAGATGCAATCAAGGGTTCAGATGATGATGTCCAAGACGGTCTCGTGCATATAAGGATTCAACAACGGAATGGTCGGAAGACCTTAACAACAGTACAAGGACTTTCATCTGAATATGACTTGAAGAAAATAGTAAGAGCATGTAAAAAGGTAATAAAATTATATTTGCTTCGCAATTGTGGATAACTAAATCTTTTGTCAGTGTCAGATACTATGCTAAAAATAGAACTGATGCAAACAAATGTTCAAAGTTAAAATTTAATTAGAACTAAAAATGATATTTTATTTTATTATATTATAAATATATTTGTAGTATATATAATTTTTTTATAAGATATATATTTATTACATTATTTATTGAAAATAAATTTTTATTTATAAAATATATTTGACATAAAAGCATAAATAGATATAATTATTTAACTTTAATGTTTTATTTATTTTTTATTTATTTATTATTAGTAAAATAAATATGAGTTTAATTTTCATATAAAAGAATTTTTTTAATTTATATTTATAATATATTTTTAATACATATAAAATAATAATATTCATAAAATAATTATATATAATTCAAATCAACAATAAATAAATAAACAACAAATAAAACTGTAATAAAAAAGTGAATAATTCAAAATTTATATGAATAATTTTTTTCAGTAATCATATGAATATATTTTATTGAATAAAATTGATATTTTTATTTAATTTTATTAATTTTATTAATTTTTATTATTTTTATTAATATTATTATTTTTATTATTATTAATTTTATTAATTTAATTATTTGTATTTAATTATTTTAAGAATATGCATGCATAAAATGAAAAATTTTATTTAATTTTTAAATATTACTTTAGAATTAAAATAATTTATTTTTTTGAAATATGAATATAATTATAAATTTTATCAATTGTAATAAAGACAATTGTACAAAGTAAAAAATTTAAATTTAATTTAATTTGATTTTATTTTCTATATTTTAAACATTTTTTATTTTATTATATAAATATTTGTGGAATAAAATAAGAAGAAAGGACAAAATAAAATTGTTGCTTTTAGGAGTTCGCCTGCAATGGGACAGTAATCGAACACCCGGAGTACGGAGAGGTGTTGCAGCTGCAGGGGGACCAGCGAGAAAATATATGCCAGTGGCTAACAAAGTCAGGTCTAGCCAAACCTGACCAACTCAAAGTCCATGGTTTTTAACCAACAAACACCCATGCCACTATCTAAGAACACTCCACCTTCATTAACACCTTATCATCTTAAATTATCTGTATCAGTCACTAATACTTGTTGATACATCGTGAGATATCCTATTATATACACATATATATTTCAATAAAAAATATATAACAGTAACGATATAGGCACAATATTCTAATCAGACATTTGTAAGATTGTAGGAAGCAATATTTTACAGCCTTATGTTAGGTAATTCATTAAACTCATCACGTTTTAAAGTAGTAGTGATAACTAATTAGTAATTTGAGAAAATACTTATACAAGGAATAGATACACATAGCAACGGATGGCTCTTCTTTTTGGAATTAGGTAGTATGTATCTCGGCGCTATAGATGTGTTCAGAGAGAAAGAGGAAAGGAGAGAGAGATATATATTAAAAAAAGAATTATTTTAGGCACCGGATTGGCTTATTGTATGTAATGCTGAATGCTTTGTTTTGTTTATACAGTAAGGTAACAGGCCTGGTTTTTATATTATCATCTCCAAGTTTTGTGCCTTTACTTCCATATTGATTGTATTATTTATTGAAAGGATCATCTTTTATTGTAATGGATTTATTTTGAAGGAGAATTGCCAATCTTTTTTTTTTTGAAACAGTATTGACAAAATCAATTGTTTTCAATAAAAATGTGGCTGTATTAAATAAATGGTAATTCACCACTATTTTGACTTCTACCTATTTTCTTTCCATGTAATTTCAATGAAAAAATATATTTTTAAATTAAATAAATAGTACAATAGAAAATGTATATCTTAATATTTAAAAATGTATATTAAAAATTTAAATTTTTAAATGTTAATATTTAATAAAAAAAAATTTTATTAAATTCTTAAAAATAATTTAGATTATAAGAATCATTTTTTTTTAATTAACTTTAATTCTTTTTAGATTTAATTAATCGTATTGTAAAAAACTAATATGCTTTTTTTAATTTACTAAAACTAATATAAAATTGATATTAATTTTTTATTTATTATAATAATTTATTATTTACATTTTAATAAAGAAAGCATAAGAAAATATGATTATATAAATGAAAAAATATTTATAAATCTTTTTTTTTTTGTAATTATATAAATGTGTTAATGAATGCTTTAATTTATTAAATTTAGGTTAAACATAATATATATTTAATTAGTTATTAATAATACACAATAAAATTATTAAAATTGTTTTACGATTTTAATATATACTTATTTACTAATATATTAATATAACAATTAATATATAAAATTTCGATTAAGTGGATAGTCTATTATTTGATTATTTTTAAAAATTTAAATTTACCGGGCATAAATCATAGTAATCTAACCACCAGATATCACTGTAGTCGAGCAACATATTTACGACCCATAATGCACTGAGCTACGGCATGTGCCTTTCTGTGTCGGCCATTTTGTAGTTTCCTTGAGAAATTGTGTTGAGTTGATTCATCTTCTCGGTAAGAATTTTATAAAATTCTAAAACGGCGCGACTCACATTGATCCAAATGATGTAGAGGATTGAGGGCAGATGCTTATGGCTAACTATTCATAGCTTGAGAACGAGGAATAAGGTTGCGTTTTTTGCGCACAACCGTGTGCGCTCACGGTACTTACACCCGAAGAACGAGCCAGTAAACGAAGCTGCCGAGAACACCTATTGATAAAGGCACATGGAATCCGGGATTGTTTCGGGATGAATGGTGATTTCGGTAACGATATACGATACGCATAAGTGTACTGTCCAAGTGGTTGTCACCATATCTGCGTGCGTGAACGTGTTGGCCCGGCCAACGTCTCGCTCTATATTTGGCTAATCGCATCCAACATATTGCATATCTTGCCTTTTCAAAATTTTTACTTTTCATGCCGTAACCTTTTCCAAAGAACTATATCAGAAGGATACAATGTGACGTTTAAGTGTGAATGCTTGACGATTGCACATTGATATTGAACAAGACCAAATCTTAGCATGTGGCACGGTTTGTACGATCAACATTCAATTTTATCTTTCAACAAAGTCAGTGAAACAATTTATTTTTTATTATGATTTAAAACCTTTTCTATATTATTTCTTATTGTATATATAAAATTAAAATATAATTATTTAAAAAGAGTTGTTTCACATAAATATAAAAAATTTAGAATTTCTATTTTTATATTTCTCTTTTTATGATTCGTTTAGATTTCATGTAAATAAATTTGTATAATTTGAATTCGTGTACATATATGCATTTCGGCATGCACATACACGCCCGCGCGCGCGCGCGCACATATAGGCAGACATGTACGCATCATGCACACGAACTATATGGCTATTGAACATAAGTACACGCGCGCGCATCATACGTGCGGCACTTATACATCTATACAGCCGTGTCATATATATACGAATTCAATTGTGTGTGTGATGTATGTATGTACGAGTATATATAGGAACTACAAATGTATTACATCAGCTAATGTATTATGCATATTACATATGTTTAATCATATTTTTGAAATTATTTTTCTAATAGAATAGTTCAATAATTGAAATTTTAATATTAAATTTTATGTGAATTTATAAAAATTATTAAAAATTATTTGAAAATTATATGTTTAAGAAAAGTTGAATTATTATAATTATTTTACATGATTATAAATAATATTAATGTTTTTAATATAATATGATAATATAAATATGTTTTTAATATAATAATTAATTTTTGGAGTAAAAAAGTAAAAGGTCACTTTTCAAGGTTATTGATTTCTTTGATTATTTATAAAATATGAATCTAATATTAATTGGAATATAAAAATTATAAAAAATATATATTTTTATTTATTTTATTTTTCTTATATCATGAATATATCATGAATATTTATTTAATATTATTTCATATGATTTTGTTATTAATATATTTTTGATATATTGAATTATGATTATTAGACGAGATTTTATTTTGAATTTATTATTTAAATACTTAAAAAATTTATTGAAATATTTAAAGTAAAATTCTTTATAAATAAAGTTAAAAAATAAGTTACTAATTAAATTATATATTACATATTACAATATGTAAGTATATTATGTATTAGGGATTAATCGATTTTTAACATATAATAATATATTATATATTTTTGATGTTAATTATATTTTATATTTTTTATAGGGTACGTGTACATGAATGGGGACATTGGGAAGCTCCCACCAGGGGCGGTATATCCAGCCACCCCTGAACCTTTGGGTTCTGTTGGGGGTGCACTTGGAAATACTGCATCCAATTTGGAATATAACATCATGAACGGTGTTCCAAGTGGAAATGAATTAATATTGGAGGCGGGTGTTGGTAATTTAGAACCTTCACTGCAACATGCTATAGGTATAGGAGGTGCTGCAGGTTATGGTCCAGTGGATGTTGCTCCTTTAGGTGATGTGCCAAATCAACCTGCTCCAATGGGTGACTTGTCTGCCCCTGGTATACCATTGGAACAACTTAAACAAATGCTCTCTTCACAACTTGAATATTATTTCTCCAGGTAAAACTTAATTTAATTTTAATATCATATAAAATTTTATTGATTATTACTAATTTAATTTGTTTATTGTATATTTTTTGTAATTTAATATAGTTATTAATTTTGAATTTTGTATTTAGATATATATAATAATATTTTTATAAAATGTTTTTCATTTATTATTATTTTTTATAATCAATATAAACTTAAGTTAAAACATATTTATTATGTGATATTTAATATGTATATTTTATTATAATAATTATATTTTATGTTTATTATATTTTTTTAAAATTATATTTTTATTTTAAAAATTTATTATAATTTAAGTTTTTAAATAATATAGAAAAAGTATAACATAATTTAATTTTAATAATTAATATTTTTTTGGTATGTGATTTATTTACTTTATTTTCTTTCTCTTTTTTCTTTAGAGAAAACTTAGCTAATGATACATATTTATTATCACAAATGGATAATGATCAATATGTACCAATATGGACAGTAGCTAATTTCAACCAAGTAAAAAAATTAACAAAGGATATAAAACTTATAACGGAGGTTCTTAGAGAATCTCCAAATGTACAAGTTGATGAAGAAGGTCAGAAAGTAAGACCTAATCATAAACGATGCATTGTAATTCTTCGTGAAATACCAGATAGTACACCATTGGAAGATGTAAAAGTGAGAAAAATATACATATTATTTTTTTTATATATTTATACATTATATTTATATTACTTCTTAATTTTTTATTTATATAATTAGTAGTATAATATAATAGAATAGTATAATAGAAATAGAAAATCTAAACAGATAAATGTAAACTTTTTATTATAACAATATTCTTATTTAATAAATATGTATTTATATTTTTCTATAACTTTAAAAATTAATTATTTTATTATAATTGATTTATTGTATATTTTCTATGAATATCAATGATTTTGAATTTCAGAATTTATTCTCTGGAGAAGGATGTCCAAGGTTTATTTCATGTGAATTTGCCCATAACAGTTCTTGGTATGTAACTTTTGAATCTGATGAAGATGCTCAAAAGGCCTATAGGTTTTTACGTGAAGAAGTTCGGGAATTTCAGGTATTTAATTATAAATATTTTTTATAATATTATAATATATATATTTTTTTAAATATTAATTGTAAAAATTGTTGAAAAATATTTTAGAAACATATTATTTAATTATTTAACTTAATAATTATATATATTTTATAATATATATAATCATTATATTTTACTAAATGATAGTTTTTAATGATATTAAGAGATATTTATGTGTATATAAGTATATGTTTAATGATTAATTAAATGAATTAATAATATAAATTAAATTAATTTCATATTAAATTAGAATAATTTTTTATGTGATGTGATTTATTTGTATATTATATAAATATAAATATAAATAATAAATAATAAACAAAATATATTATAATTTTTTTTATTTTATGATTTTATGAATTAATACATATTATATATAATTTAGGGAAAGCCAATAATGGCTAGAATCAAAGCTAAACCAATGAATAGGCTACCAATCCCGGCAGTTGCTAATGTGGGTGGAATTAAAAATGGTTATAGAACACCACCGCCACCACCTGTTTATGATCCAAATAGTTATACAGCTGGTCAGCAACGTTTTCTTTATACAAATGGCACTACTATGCCACAAACTACTATGCCAGCATATGCCAATCAGGTTCATGTATATGTAAGTAAAAATATGTATTCTATAATTTTATAAGAAAAAAGTATATAGTAATTAAATTTGTTATTTTTAAAAATATGACAATTTATGAAGAAATGAAAATAGAAAAATTCATTCTCATTTTATGAATATTATTTAAATTTTAATATTTATAGTTAATATTTAAATATTTTTTTTTTAGATTTCGTAAAATTATTAATTATAAAATATTAATTAATTACTATTATAAAATATACTATTAATTATTAAAATATTTTTGGGTTCAAATATTTCAAATTATATTAGAATTTTTTAAATATTTAAAACTTAAACTTAACTTATTTAAAACTTAACAATTTCATATATTTTTTATAGCATCAACCATTTTATCCTCCTGGAATGATGCCTTGGGGACCTGCAAGTCCTGCTTATTTTGATATGTCAGGTGTTTTCATGAATGGTATTACACCACATAATACATTTAAACCACAGAATGCAAGATATAATCCTCGTCACAGGTATTAATATGATTAATTTATAATAATACAGAAATATATATTAATTTTTTATTATAAAAATTGCATTTTTTCATGAAAAAAATTATTAGCAAAATAATTTGTAAATAATGTAAATAATATTTAGTATTTTAATATATTTTATATCGTTATTTTTTCAAAATTTATTTTATATACATATACATGTGACACAGAAATAAGCAAAGAAATGGATCTGAAAGACCAGGCTTGATGGATAGTGGAGGTAACATGGTGCCAATGGGACGCACTTCACATCCACCTATAAGTGGGGCACCAATATCTTTAGGAGCAACAGTTCCGACATTTACTTCAAGCTTGCCTACGGTGAAACCAACTTCTTCTTCCTACCAAACTGGCACAAAGTTCCATTCCTCACATACAATTGTAGCAACTGGAGAGACTCACTATAATAGCAGTCACACAAAAGGATCCCAAGAAAATGACACTCAAACTTTAGACTCTGGAGTACAATTTCCGCGTCATCGTATGCATCGTAGGACCAAAGACCAAGAGTCATTATCAAAGGCTAATAGTAGCCCCTTACCTTCAATCAGAGAATCTACCCCGGCCAGTAATAATAACACTCAATGTAATCGAGGGGTACAATTCGATTTGGAAGCTTCTGCTTTCCCTCCTCTTCCTGGCCTAGATGCTGATCTTGCAAAATCCCATAATGCTTCAGTAGAAACTGTTGGTACAGATTGTACGCAATCGCAGAATAGGCTTTCAGATGTAGTTAAAGGTACTGCAAAATTGAAAAGCATCAAAGAAAAAGAACCTACAGGAACTTCACAACAATACCATCAACAAGCGACAAGTAACAGCAGTAGGTCTGCAAGTCCAGGGTCAAGTGCTGGTGGTCATGCTGGTTCGCTAGAAGCTCCAACTGGTTCTGGCAGTACATCAACTACTCCTGTTGCATCTACAAATGTCAGCTCTAATGCTTCTGCTAGCAACAATGACTCCACAGACATCGCTCTCAGCACCATCACTCTCACTCCCCCGTCATCTCCTGATAAGTGAGTGTGCTTTCTTCTTATACATACATACATACGTACAACGTACAGATATAAACACACATACATACGTATATAAATACATACGTAATTATACATATATAAGTACATTTTATGTGCATATATACATACGTTTATGTATTTGCATATGTATAATACATGTATAAATACATATACGTGTGTATGTCTGTATATGTACATACATGATTTGTGTATGTGCATGTGTGTAATAGAATATATATATATTTTATTTTTATTGTAAAAGCAAATAGATGTTTAATTATATTTCTAAAGTATTGCTTATTATAAATTATTGTTAAAGTTCTCTAATTGCTTTTAACGATATATTGCATATATTATGTATATATGTATAGATATACGCAAGAAATATATACAATACATATAAACACGCGCGCACATACACATATTACATCAGAATGAGTTATATATAGGGCTCATATAAGGCCTGAAAAATTGCTAAGCTATGTTTGATAGTGTTGGCTGCATTATATACGTGCTATGCTCTATGGTGGATGTGTATTAGTGAAAGTTATATAGTCCACCTATATTTTCATATCACCTATATAAGAAGGAAAGGGAAAGTAGTTATATGGTAGTTTGTTAGTTTCAACATATTATGTTCTGTTAATATAACAATGTTAAAGTTTATGCTTATTTACTAATTCATAAATAGAATGGATAAAAGTAATAAATTAATTACTCTGATAAAATAAGTAAGAATAGAGAATATTAAAATATATATTTTATTTTTGGAAAATAATAATTTTACATTATATTAATAATAAGTAGTCCATGTATGATTTTTTTATTTGTCAATAATTAATAAAAGATACCAAACATATTTTGCAATTATTATATTTTATTTTTATTGACATATAAAACATTTTAAAACAATTATTTAAATAATTACAAATTATTTTTTTTAATTTTCTCAGAATATATCTATCTTAAATATTATATAATAAACATGTATATGTTTATATAATATTTTTAAAATTATATAAAATTTGTTTATTGTGCTATAATTTAAACTTTCCCTTTCTTAATTATGTTATACTCATACATAGAGCAGTAAAAGTAGGTATATCTTTTTTAAATTTATTATTATTTTACTCTCTATGGTGGTTAATTTTGTAGATGTGCTCAGTTGTTTCAATTTGCCATTTATTTCTATTCATTGCTATATCTTTTTTCTCATCGAGTGATAAGTTTTTAATATTGGAATGCCTCGTTAGTTTAGTTCTTATATTAAAGAACAGATTTTTAAAATAAGAGCTGGTGCTCCACTCGATGAAAAGTAAAGTTTAATTTTAAAGCATAAAATGCTCAAAATCGAGGTATTCATTTAATAGTAGTCAGAAGTTTTAACATTTTTCTATAGTATATCAAATATAATAAAATATTGCAATGCGTATGTATGCAAGAATGTATGCAGTACTCTGTGGTAGCACAATTTATATTTCTTGCCTGTATTATTGCGGCAAATGAACAATATATATGAACTATTATATTATTCAGGGTTCAATATATGAATTTGTTATTATTTTATTATTAATAGTATCATTATTTTATTATTATTATTATTATTATTATTATTATTATTATTATTATTATTGTTATTGTTATTGTTATTATCATTATCATCATCATCATCATCATCATCATCATCATCATCATCATCATCA